TGCCAGTGAATCATGGCAGCTGCGCTTTAAACATAGTTCTCAACCATGGCTGTGCCAGAGTCCTCGACATGTGGGTTGGTTCTGCAGATTCTCTGTGAGTGCCCAGAGGATGGGCCGGGTGACTCGGACTCCATGGGTAAGCCTGCGGGACAGCAGGCCGGAGAGCCTCTGCCTTAGAAACATATCCCCACGGAGTGGGGTGGGACCAGCATAGGCCCCAAGCACAGGCTTTCTCGATAATCTCTCAAATATTGACTTAATGATCTGGGAAATCAGGGTTCACCACCTGTTCTCACAGCTTCAGCTAACAGACCTATCTATACATCTTTTCCACTAGCAAGACCACTCTCTCCACTGAGATCCTGTCTCCTTGGACTCCAGCTGTGGAGGAAAGTATAGGTGGCAGTGGCACCCCCTTGGCTGCCCTGCTCAAGGATGTGGCAGCATCTTCTAGCCCCTTCTCACCCCTAATGCTGAGATAATGGAGATCTCACCCTTTCTAGCAAGATAGGAACCAAAGCTTACTTTCCCCAGAGGGACATTTTAAATGCTTTCAAATCTCCTCTTTGTCACGTACAGCAATTTTTAGGAACACAGAATTTTGTTAGTAATGTTAGGATTAAATTTTTATTGTTAAGGCTTTGAAACACAAAATTTTAAAAGCCTGTTAGTAATTGAAAATTGTAATGCTGCTGAGGACACACTTTACTGTTAGAATAACTATAAAACATAGTGATAAATATAAAAAATAATAAATTTGGAAGAATGTTTTCACTCTCATTTTTATTAAACTCTATAGAAATTATTCTTGGGTGTATAGTCTTATTGGATATATGGGTTAAGACTAAAGATTAAGACTAAAAGAAACAAAAACACTCTGGCATCAGTTTAAAATTGCAGTAAAACTGTAACAGCTTTTAAATAAAGCTGTTCGTGGGTTTAACCGTAAAATACAAAGGTGAGAACTAATTTCATCACCTAGAAACGTGTGACTGACGTGGCCTTCCCGGTGGGAAGACTGCCCCCACACTCGCGCCCTGCGCAGCACGCACCCCCCGAGCACTGTGGCGTGTCCGGCCCGTGCCGGTCGATGCGGGTGCAGAGACGGGCTTGGCATCGTTTCACCTTGTGTCATTGGCAGTGTCTTTTCTTTCGTGTGGGACTGCCTTGAAATAGTGACTCAGAGACGCTAGAGTTGAAAGTGAACTTTTTTCTTTTCACGTAAGGAGAGGACAGATGCCTACCCAGGTGATGCACCTTAGAGAGTCCAAAGTTTTTGATAGTCTTATATTTCATTCTCATTTTAAGGCAGAAGGGCAGATTTAAAAATTATTTTTAGTGCTGGAGTTGCTTAAAAAACAGTGGCATCAGCAGTTGTTGCAGGTGGTTGCCATACAATTTAGCACGGCTGAGGGCCAGAGGCTAATCCCTGGTGAGTGTGTTCGGAAACAGCAAGGCGGAGCCGCTTGCTGGCCCGCAGGTCCGTGGTGGGTCTTTAGAGGCAGTGCCATGTGGTCGCCTGAATCCTTCTGTGCTGCAACCAGGCTGTGGGTATGAAGACAAGGCTGCAGTCACCTGGAGCAAATTACGTAACCTCTTCCTCCTTGTGCTGCGGTTTATGGGTCTATAAAATGGGGGTGGGACCCACAGTACAGTCACCAGACTGTCAGGACAGGATCGCATGAGTTAATTCATGTGAAGGGCTGAGGTGGTAGCTGGCACAGTAAGTAGTGGTGGTGGCAGCGTGACGGCAGCAGTTAGTAGCAGCATTGGGGTGGAACACCTGCCATCATCACAGATTCCCTTACTTATACCACACCAGAGTCACAGAGGTCAGTCACAGCTAGAGATAAGTCCCGTTTATTGGTGGACTTCAATTTAAGAATTGAGGAAGAATATCTTCTTAATGTTGACATGACTACTTTGTACTCTAACTAAGGTGTGAGCCACTGATAACCGTGGGTTGGGGACTCTGGCCAGTAGTCCCGGTGCCTGTGACCCTCATACAAGGTTACCAGCCCTGGTGTGTCTGTTGGTCAGCTCTCACGGGCAGGAAGGCTGACTTCCCTCATGGTACTGCCTGTTGTGCTTGTAGCATGCCTCCAGTGCCTCAGCAAATGGAAGTCAACGTCAGGCAGGTTGTCAGGCAGGGAGTAGCTTCTTGTGTTTCCCTATCCCATAGTCGCTTTGTCAGAGTTCTCTCTTGGTATCTCCACAGAGGAACAAAGGGAAGAAAAGAGTGGAAAGAATGTGCCTAATTCAGTGGTTCTCAAATGGGAGATATTTTGCCCCCCAAGGGACTCTGGCAATGTCTGGAGACATTTTTGGTTGTCACAAAGGAGTTATTGCTACCATGATTTAGTGGTTAGAGCCCAAAGATGCTGCCAAACACCCTACAATGCACAGGACAGCCCCACACAACAAAGAATTATCTGTCTCATAGTGTCAATACAGTTGAACTTGAGAAACCCTGAGTTAACCCAAACTATAGGGCCAGGCTTCTGTGCCTGGCTAAGTAGTGGGTACCTGTTACATGCCATTTTACACAGGGACTCCCCAGCTGGCGATACAGGCAGAAGCTGGAGGTGGGGGAGCGTGCTATCTTTTGTCAGAGGAGTGGTTTCTCTATACTGAGTGCAACCGTCTCTCTATGGCCCCAGTATCCCCATCTGTGTGGCTGGCCTCTGGCAATCTTCGGATCACTGGAGGACCAGTTGCCGCCTTAGATTCAGTGTAAAAGCAGGGCTGGTGGCTGACTCCCAATGACCATGCCAGCTAATGACGTGCCTGGGACAGACTGTGAGTCATGTGGATGGCAGAGTGGTGGTGGGGGGTCCTTGCGCCCTGCAGGACAGTGATCTTGTGACTCTGGATAGTGATAAAGCTTTGTATCACCCAGGGGGACATTTCTTCAGGAAGGGCAGAAGCATATTCTAGAGGATGGTTTTATTTTTTATTTATATATCTATAGCAGGCAGTTATGTAGTGCCTATTATATATCAGTAAGTGTTTAAAGTATTTTATCCATATTAACCCATTAGACCCTCATAACTGCCCCAGAGGCAGGCTTATTATTATCCCTCTTTTACAGACAGGGAAACAGGAATGGAGAGCGACAGCTCAAACCTAGGGAGTTTGGCTGCAAAATCTGGGCCCTTCACCACTATGCTGTGGATGAAAGACACTGAGTTTCATACTTGGTTTTCTTTTTCTGCCTTGGCTCTTGACTTCTGACTGGTTCCAGGGAGGCATCAGGGAACTAGGCAGACCGGAATGAAGTGTTCATTCTGACTTACATCTGTAACCACAAACAGTTACTTCATGTCTGTGAACCTCAGTTTTCCCATCTGTAAAATGAAGTCCTACCTACTCATGGAGAATATGGACATGTCATGGGATTTCATACACACACACACACACACACACACACACACACACACACCCCTCTTCAGAAAATAATTCTCTTCTACCCTTCTTCACTGTAATCAGATTTTTGGCCTTGTTACTCCAATGTCATGGCCAGCTTGTCTTACTGCCCACAGGTAAGATACATATTGAAGAACAAAAAATAGGCCTGGTCAGATATTCATCAGAATTAGTGAGAGAACAGACTGCTACAGACCTTCACATGCGAAGAAGCCCAGTGTTCGGTGTTGGGCAGTGGTGGAGACAGTGAGATAATGCCAAACGCATCAAACCAGACGTTCAGGATAAAGATGCGGGTTCTGCTTCTGTCTGTAGATTTCAGTCAGCTCCAGCGATGTTGTCTGTAAACCACTGAGAACACATACTTCCATGTCAATTACATATCTGTGTCTCTGCTGGGAAGAGTTTCTCTCTGGACTTGGGGGAACAGGGCAGTCCAAACACCTCCTGGCCAAGGTTGGTTGGCTGTGCTCCAGGGTTGGTGAGTTAACCAGGTGTGTGTTTCTTTCTGGGCTGGATCAAAGTACCTGCTCAGAGCAAGTTTGCTGTTCCCAGCAGAATGGAAGGGGGCAGCTTCCCATTTGTCTCAGTTCAAGACTTTACTATATCCTGCTACCCGCACAGTGTACTGCCCTCTGGCCCGCTCCCAGTTCGTAATGAGTCTGGATTGTGTCTACATGGGTGACCATCCTGTTGTCCTTCTGCCTTTTCCACATGTGCAAGTCAGTGTATCTTTCTTTGATTGTGAGTTTCCAGAGGAGGAGGGCTGTTTCATCTCTGTGTGTGTGTGCTGATACATGTCTGAGGATGACACATCTGGAGGGAAGTGTATGACTCCTTGACCCTCAGCCAGATGTGTAAGAAAGGGCGTCAACTCTTACATGTAAGCGCCATGGGAGAACATCCCTGACATCTAGAACAGCGCCTGGCACATAGCAGTTGTTTGACAGATATTTCTTCAACGAATGAATGCATCTGGTCTTTGTGTATTTTTCAAAGATCTGATTATAGTTAACTGAGTATACTATGCCTGGAAATGTGGAACTGTGGCTTTTATTATTACTATGTCTAACCAAGAGATATAAAGACTTTGCAAAAAAAACACCTGGGACACGTGCTGGAGTACAGGGCACTAAAAATAACAACAAACTTGATCCAGAAGCTACTTTGGGACTTTGGAGTTGTCCTCTGTGCATCAGTAACCATCGTGCTATAAGGAGGAGGAATTTCTAAATAGAGTGCTTTGGTAGGATGCTGAGGCACAATGAGCATTCTCTGTCAGCCCAGGAGCTAGAAATAATTTTTGTCATTTATGCTAAACTTGCATCACAGAATAGACCATGTTGTTTTGTACTTTCTGGCCTGGGGAACAGAATGGAGGGTAGACCTTCAGCGGGGATATGGGAGGGTTTTGGTCATGTTTAAGATACGGTTTGTTAGGACAGGTCTTAGGCAGTACCTTTTGACTACCACTCTTTGTTCCTTAATGTCAAAGAGAGAAAGAGAGAGCATGTGCATTGAACAAATACGCAGTGGTGAAAGAATTTTAAAACTCTCTGCATTTTATTTTACAGATCTAAAGAAAACTCTTGCTGTATTGCTGGATAATATTTTGCAGCGCATTGGGAAGTTAGAGTCGAAGGTGGACACCCTGGTGATCAACGGCACAGGAGCAAACTCGACCAACTCCACCACAGCTGTTCCTAGCTTGGTAGCACTTGAGAAAATTAATGTGGCAGGTAAGAAGGGTAGTCCTGTAGCTTGGCATGGAGCCAAACCCTGATTTGAACTGGGAAAAGAATAAAGAAGCACAGTCGTTCTTTTTGATAGGATATAAATCCCATAAACTTGGTATGGCTCCTATAAAGCCACATTTAAATTTATTTTTGAATAACAGATGTTAGAATGCTTTTATAGTTTCATCATGATGTGTGGTATCTGGTGGTTTCTGTGACATATTTTACATAATGAGCTCCTGGAATTCACTTTTAATGAGAAGATTCATAACGTGGATGAATGAAATATAGAGGTTATCTGGGGAGCTCATGGCAGTTAGAGGTTCTTCCTCCTCCCCATTTTCATCAGACAATTTCAAAAGTTTGTAACATATGGTAGATTCTCTCCTCTGAGCCACCATTGCAGAAAATGCCTCCTGTGTATATGTAGAAAATTTAATTCTGGAAATGGCACTTAGGAAATAACTGCCCCGGCCTCTAGCCACTCATGGTGCCACCATGCATTTCACTGGGATTCATTTGGTCCCTTCTTGAGACTGAAATCTTGCATGAGAGAAGGGAAATGGGGTAAACACAAAACCCAAATCATATACAACATGGACTGTCCACAGCTCATTGGACCACCATTACACTGACCTCGGGCTGGCCTCCGGGTCTTTGTGGTTGAGTCAGGGCTTACTCTTGTTAGGGTGATCACTGTCCTTTCCTAGGGACTCAGGACAAAACAAAGAGCTGGAGGGTTAGGGTTAGGTGCTCTGGGGGAGTGGTTGTGGATACCCATCCTATACTCCTGGTGGGTGGTACCCAAACTCTAGTTAGTGGGTAAAGTAAGTAGCTGAGTTACTTTTGAAATTTTTAAAATGTAGTTTAGCACGCACTTGTTGACTTGCTTCTCTCTCTCCCCCTTTCACAGACTTACTTGGGAGCAATCCTTTCCTTTCCCCTCCAGTGTCAGAACATTTAATCATTTCACATTATGCAAGCTTGTTGTATTACCTGTTTGTTATGTTCTTTGCCCTTTTCACAAGTTTCAAATTGCAGTATATACTTCTGATAATCCAAAGTAGCCCACCAAAGATTTTAAAAATAACTTTTAATTACAACACAGAGGCAGTGTCATCTAGGCCATAAATCCTGTCTTCCCTGCAGTTCCCAACAGCTTCTGTAATTAGACTAGAAAACCTCCCACTGTGTTGAGCTGCTTATTAATAAACAGAACCCATGCCTCTCCAGTCTCCACTCCTCCACCCCTTTCCCAGTGGGAAACACTAATGAAAAGCTCCCATCGGATTTCACGGCAGCTCTGCATTCTCTTAATTCTGGAGGTGGTGCGGGGCACTCTGCCACAAACGCTGTGGCTCCCATTGCCTCTGCCCTGGAGGAACCATGTAAACATGTCTGCTGTCGTTCTTTTCCCTGACAAGGTATCGTGCTGCCTCTGGCTGTCCTGTTCGTGAGCCAGACTCACAGGAAAACTTCTCTTTCCGGGCTCCATGTCCCAGGGTACAGAATGGTGGGTAGACCTTTGGCATTTACAAGGGAGGGATTTGGTGGCTGCTTCTTTCAAATGAGATCCAGCCCTGTGTATTGAACTAGTTTACTAAGTTAACAAATATCTCTTGAGCATATTCTCGAAGCCATTGGTTCTGAGGTAGGCCCCTTTAGTTATATACCATGGGTCCTGTGTTTTCACTAATATTTAAAGAACCAAGTATTTTGGTTTAATTTTTTCTTTTGGGGGAAATGGGAGAAAATTTAGAGTTATGCCTTTAATAATTAATTTCATCTTGCTCCTTTGTATGTTTTGTGTGTGTGATATCCTTCATGCCTTTGTGATTTATACTGGCCGATAAGGAAAATAACACAGACTGTGATCACTGTAAGTGGCAGTCAGTGTGGAAGACTTTTCATGGGAAAGTGAGCTTTGAAGGTAGGAAGGACTGAGGCATAGGGCCCTCATGGAGGAGATACAGACTAGAAATGGGTCGTGGCCCAGAAAGATGCTTGGAAGGAAGGAGAGGAGACTAACACCTAATGAATCCACTAATACCAGTTACTGTTCCTGACTCTTGGAGCCACATGATTTCATTTAATCCTCTCCATGTCTCTGAGAAATGAGAGTGATTTCACTAGTTTTAGTGAGCTGAAGTATTTGGGAGAGGGGGACCTTTGGTACTGTAATCCTCTGAGCTCAGCCTCAGACCTCCTAGCACCACCTGGAGAAGACATTGTGAGTCTGTCTTTGACAGACTCTGTCAAAGACATTGAAGACACTGTCTTTTCTTGCTTCTATTTGTGAATTATCACAAATGAATGCATCTGGGGAAATGTGCTATCATTTTCTTAGAGGTTCCTAACGAACTGACAGTGTAGCCTGTTTAATAAGGAAGTTTTTTTTTGCGTCGGAGTGTCTAATCTTTGGCTGACCTGTGTACTTTAAAAAAATAAAAGGGAATAGCAGCTCGTCCCCCAGGGTGCTTGCATGCATGTGTGTCCCTTCCCTAGATCCCACGTTGGCCACAGTGGGTATAGATGTGAAAAGGACAGGGAAAGCACCCTCCCTTATTTCCCCCAGAGGTTGAAGGGTCCTTTGTGTCTTTTAAAATGATTGACATAAAGTTTTTATTTGTCTTATCTCTAGATTAGGGTGTGAAAAAGAAGGACAAGAACCTAAAGTTCTTAGTCCTAATTCATTATCAGTCCCCCAGTGCTTTCATGCCCTCTGCTGATCTGTGGCCACACAGGCGGTCCTCACAGCCCTCTTATCAAAGCAGAAATAATAGGTCTTGAGCTGTGAGAGAGTTCATTTTATAGGGTTCCAATCCGAGTTGAGTGAAGTTTTTCATTCTCACTTTCTGCATTAAGACATTTGGTAATTGCTCAGAAATGTTCTCCCTGGTGTGTCTTTACTGCTCACTCTGGTGTCTTATTGCTCATGATGTTTCTGATTGCTTACTGTTATGTCTTATTGCTTGTTGATATATCTTCTGGTTGGCTGTAAACTGCTTCTAAATTGGATACCACAGCAGTGGAAGCAGGGCTTCTTAAATTTATGTTCTTTTTGGGGACATTTGCGTGTGTGAGTGTGTGTCCCCTTTCCTTTTCTGTTTGGTCGTACTCAATGTGGCTTCCATCCAAAATGGTTTTTCCTTCCAAATTTATCACTCTTGGACTTTTTTATTATGTGAAAGTGAACATTCCCCAGAGAAATTTAGGTGAAAATGAACCTTATCAAAACCAAAAATCATATTGAACTGCATTTTGAGCTCTATTTATTTTGTTGAAGAGGAAGGTGAATCAGAGGAATGGAAAAAACAGGTATTTAAAAATCCCTACCCTTCAATCAATCAATCACTATTTCTCTAGGTTTTTTCCCTGAAAGAGCTTGTGTATGCCTTTGTCAAAAATTATATGCTTTCAGAATGATACCCTGTTTTTTTTTTAAGACCAATTCTGCTTTTCTCTAGATTTGTGACCTTAGATTATGAAGCAGAGTGAACAGTATTGGGTTTGTGGCTCTTTGCCCTGTAACTAACATGGGGGAAGTAAAAAGTATGTATGTATGATAATGAAAATGCCCGTCTCCTGAGGATTGACAATGCCCTCATTTGTCCTTGTTTTGCCCATAGTGTCTTGTTCAGAGCCAACCTGTTGAAGGTACTCAATAAATCCTGCTCATGTGGTTGGGATTATGTTGGACAGGGAGAGCATTTGGTTTTACTGCTTCAAGGAGTTTTTTATAGTTTCTCTTCTCACAGTTTTGCTCATGAGGATTTGCATTGGAAATAGTGTTTGGTATCTCATTTCCCTTTTCTCACATCTCAGCGGACACTGCCTAGGAAGCAGGATTTACTTTCTGTCTGGCATGACAGCTCCCACAGATGATTCTGTACCTGTGGAGCCTTCAGAGGAAGTGATAGTTACAACTCCAGATTGTAGTATTTGGGGGGAAGGGCCCACATTGTACAGCTGTGTACTGTGGGTGAGAGGAAAGGGAAGCATAGGTATGTACATGGGTGCATTTGTTTATACTCTCAAAAACCAGTTGTTGTCATTCAACATCAGCTGAATAACAGGTTGGCCAGCATTGACAGTTCTCTAAAAGACACAGCATAATGCTAGCATCCCCTTTGAGTTTTGACCACTTGCAATTACAAGAGAAGCAATCACAAAATCAAAGATGCAGGAATAATTCCAGTGGCTGTTTCCTGATATTTAGTCCAAATTGCACATTATGCAGTCTTGTATTTTGCAAACATCACTTGCAACATGCAATATGTTCTAGTATTTGGGTTTGAAGTGCAGTGTATTTGAACCTAAATGCTCTTCTCAATAAAAAGAATCATAATTATTATTCTTACCATTTGAAATTGAAAATGAAAAATGTCCCTGCTGAGTTGCAGGGCTTATGTTTAAAAGTACAGTTCCCCACTTTGTGCTGCTAATGGACCTTAAAATTAAGTTGCACTTGTGCTGTACAACCCACATTGTCAGTTGTGTTAGAGTGCCACCTGAAGGGTCCAAGTTCCCCTTACCCCTGAAATGGTTCAGCAGGGGGCTTTTCCAGGATTGGATATTGGCCAGTCAGTGGCTCCCCAGATGCTGGCAAGAGACAGGAAAGAGATGGGAGTTGAGGGGTACTTTATTATTGATTGGAGCAAGGAACACATGTGTTCCTCCTGTCTGCCTGTCACTTTCTGTTTCATTCTTTGCAAGGACAGCAATAAATAGTCAGTCACATGTCAGAAACAGTCCTTTTAGTACCTTTACCAAAAGATTTATGTCCTTGTTGGTGTGGTTTTCACTTGGCGTGGTCATGGGCATTTTGATTTTTATGATGGAGGAGGAGAAGAACAGGAGAAGGAAGAGGGGGAGAAATACAGTTCAGGAGAATTGATGCTGACCTTTGAGCCTGTGTATTTATAGCACTGAATCCCAAGACAATTCTGTCTCAGTAGGTGACACTTGGAAATGTCTGGAGACATTTTTGGTTGTCACAACTG